TCGGAGAATTCTGAGTGCGGGCAAAGATCACACACAACTTGGGGCGAGTCAACTACTAATTGCGGCATCGATATTTCGGGAAATAGTGCTCCGAGTTCCTACTGACAAAAAGTTCAACGGGTGCTTCCCGCGATAAAGGAGAAGGCAGAGTACGTTTTAATAAAAATCCGACACAACAGCAGACTGGGACAAAAAATCGGGATACACGTGATCGAAATCGGGAAAATCAGGATGCTTGAGATTTGGAGCAAAAAATCGGGATATCCCGACTAAATCGGGATGAGTGGCAGGTCTGACTTTCCCGTGTCTCTGCGATTTTTTTCAAATTCCCGGGTAATTCCCGAGGCCTGGCAGTCACTCTGCTCCCAGCAACTCTCTTTCTGATTGTCTAGTGGAGGAAATGGCGGTAGCGGAGTTTAGCTAGCGGAAATCCGCTAAACAGCGGAATATTGAGACCCTTGAATTTCTCAGCGTATCCATACCATATGAGGGGGTGAGATGCAAAACCAGCTAAGCAACATTTTGGAACATACCAGATTTTTTGCTTATACATGCACATTGTTACCAGCTATCAGAGGCACAAAGTGTTATCGGCCAAAACCCAACACATCTTTCATAAAGCCATTAAAAAATCTTCCTTTTATGCATTGCGTGCGTATAGCAGCATTTAAAAAAAATGATTTTCTTAAAAGCACTAAAATGGATGTAGCAGGTTTTGCATCTCAGCACCTCATATCGTGACCTCACTGCTTTCTTACAAGTCCTATCTCCATTTTTTTTAACATTGAAAATGTGACTTCTTCTTAAGCTCACTCTTCGTTATGTACTGTTTTCACTGTTAAAAAAAAAGGAGATACAACAAGAATGCACTGAGGTCGCGATATGTAACCAATGCAATATTCTTTGAACGAAGAACCAACAACGACTCACCTCCTTGGCAAACTTGAGGGTCTGCAGCGCCAGTTCACGGGTCGGCGACATCACGATGGCTCGCGCTCCTGTTGAGGATCTCACTTTCAGTCTCTCAAACAAAGGAATCAGGAAGGCTGCAGTTTTACCACTGCCTGTTCTTGCCATGGCCACCACGTCCTTGCCCTCCAGGATCAACGGAATGGTCTGAAAAAGAAAAAAAGAAAAGAAAAGAGTTTTTTATTCTTCTTATTTGCGACTTTTTTCCACTATGGCATTTACTAATGTAAACAGATTAGATGAAATCCCATTTTACAATAAATAGACAAAAGATCAACAAATTATAACAAAAACATGACAATGCAATAGTCACTTTTGGAGGCAAAAATAAAGAAATGAAAATTAAAAGATGAATACTTCTTTTTTTTTTTTTTGGTAAGTGTTTTATGGTACTCCCAACTGCATACGGTCATATGAGGGCGGGGGACACATTAAACTTTTTCAGTTGGTAGGAAAGAAAGTTTGAATTTTGCTTGGGTGGCGGCCGAAGTCTACTCTTATCAATTTTAGACCACAAAGGGATCTTGAATGTGCGCAACTTGCACACAGGCCCTCCGAGATTTTTCACCCTTGTTTAGAAGGCCAGGTGTAGATCTTTCTAACCAGAAGATCAGGGGTGTGGCTGAAACAGAAGTAAGAAGGAGCAGCCAAGGAGTAGCAGTAGAAAGGCTGAAAAAAGAGTCAGGAGCCCACAGGAGGGGGCAAAGGAATGAGGGATTGGGGGCAGAAAAAGGAGACCAAAGCAGACGACAGAACATTGTTAGAGAGCAGGAAAGGAGGTGAAAGGAGACAATTTTAAAGAAGAAAATTTTTCGCTCGCTTCACGGATAGGAACCCGGGAAATTTGAATGAGAGGCCAACACCTTAACCTCTAGGCCACGAGAGCCCCCTAGATGAAAACTTCAGTCACATATTACTAAAAGATTATGACACAATACAAGATCTGAAAACGAAATGAAGAAAACTATTCCAACCACATTACTTCCAAAAGCTTTGAATTATGAGCTGTCAGACTGAGCACCCAAAAAAAAAAGATAGTGTTAAATTTGTCCTTAATGGACAACTAGTAAAAGTAAACAACAGCTCAAGAACTGATAAAAAGAACGATTTTTTTTTTTACATTCATTCAAAGCACACTTACCTTCCTCTGGATAGGGGTAGGCACTTTATACCCTCGCCGGAGAACACCTTTAAGGACCCCATGAGACAAACCTGAGACAGTAAAAAAAACCACAATGAGCAAAATGTCTTCCTGCTCTGGCTATCAAATAAGTTGACCCCAGAAACACTCTCTATTGGTAGTAACTTTAACACAATACAAACCATGAACATGCATTTGGATTAACACTTTATTGTCAACAGGGCAAAGCTTATATAAATATATATATATATATATATATATATATATACACAGTTGTATCATTCAAATGGAGACTTAAGTATTGCTGAGCCATCTGGCTTTTAGGGAGAAATGGATAAAAGGAAAAAATTTAAAAAGGGCACCCCCCCAGCAAGTAAACAGCGGTTGTCATCCCATTTCTATCAATCGCAATCTCCTAGATAAGGCTGTTATACATTTTGAATAAAATAACACCAAAATTTGATCCCTCTAGAGGTCCATTATCAGCAAATTCAAACAATTAACCACAAGTGAACAATGAACCTGTACCGCAAACCCCTGCTGCAAGGCAATACCCTGCCCACACCAGATGTACTATGGGGACCAAACCCAATAGGGTCATCACATATATATCAGACTGCAGGCGGCAGGAGGCCAGCAATAGAAGAAAAAGAAGTGAACAATGATAACAATGTGAGTCCACTGAAAAAGCTACAAGGCAAAGTCAGACATCAGCAACATTGTTGGCTGTGTGAGAACATATTCTTTTTCAAATACCAGACAATTCTTATATCTCTCATAACTAGGTCGGGCAGCATTATTATTCTCATTTAAGAACGTAAGCAAGTCACAGACATTTTAGTGTGACCTATTCATTCTCTGTACCACAACGAGTGCATTGCATCACTTACAATTTTAATTCAAAGTCTTTTACGGGGTGCCCATTGGGGGATCGGGTCAGGTCGGGTCGGTTTGCTAGCCAGATTGAGGGCGCAAAGCGGCTATCGTGGCATAAGCCGATCGCGCTTGACTAGTCAATGTTTCAGGCAACGAGTGGGGCGATCGCCCCCGACCCGACCCACCCCACCCCCAATGGGCATTCCGTATTGACATCCTAAACATTGACGAAACATGGCATGTGTAATTGTATTATTGAAAATTTTCATGGACAGCATCAAAGACCAGCTTTTTTGTTTTTTTCACAACTTGTATACTTCTATGACAAGTAACTCAACAAGAACAGTTGGCTTTTTTTGGTGATAAAAAGTTCACAAAGGGAGTGTTCAGATTCAACTAATCTACATATCCATACCCAATGACTGGAATCCTCCAGACTTTTTTTTAGTTTTTAGAGTAGCCAGTTTCTTTGCAGAAGCCATCTCAACATCCGAATCTTCACTCTCCATGTCCTGAAAATGAATCATGCAAAAATCAGGCTTTTGAGTGGGGCCTTGTAATTAACAAGAGAACAAAATTTAAAGTCTTAAAATTGGGCCAAAAAGAATGTGATCTTCCTGGCTAGTAATAGTAGATCTAGATCTACTAGATCTAGATCTAGTATGGGTGTCCTTAGATTATACGTCTTCAGACTGCCTACTATGTAGACCTGTCAACCTCCCAATGATTTTTAAGAAAAAAAAAGAAGAGAGAAATATCATATTTCCCTGAAATCCTCCTCAAAAAAAAAAGAGGAATTTAGGAAAAAAAAATTGGAGGCATCTAGACTCCACTAGCTTGACTCATTCGTGTACGAACGTAACGAGACGCGAGCATGCAATTCGTTACGTTCGTAGAAATAGTCGCTTCGTTCTTTAAATCAGTATCAATATCCAGTAGTCTGTGTCGATGATGCCAAGTCTAAACAGACGGGACCCAGATTCTTAACTTAAGTCTTAAAAGTTGCACCGAGTAGTGAGTCTCATAATTTACGCACCTAAAATGCACTTTTGACTTTTACCTCTATTAGGCCCTCCTACTAAATCTAGATAATCTAGATCTAGATCTACTCCTCATTTTAATTTCGAAGTGACTATTTCTCCAAACATTCGCGAAAATAAGTTGAACTCTAATTCTCCGAACGGTTTCCGATCTCGAGATTTTTCGGGTTATTTACAAGATTTAGGCGTCATCCTTTCTTCATTCTGCGAGGACTGGGAAGAAGCATTTTTTGCATCAAATTCAATTTCAAGAGCTAGAGATTTTTAAATGTCTGAATATTCAGATACTTCAGTTGTGGTCTGGGCAACGTTCCCGGACTATACTTCATTTGAAAATACCTTCAAAAGGTACTGCGAGAAAACATGACTGCTCGACCTTGGCAGTAACCTATTTTGCATTTAGTCACCCAACAAAAACTAAAATCCTTCAGGTAAAAAAAAAAAAATCCCTACCCCCCACACCTTACAAACACACATGCACACTCACTCTCACACACACAGGCCACTCTATTCGCTTTTATCAACAAATCTCGAGAACGGAAACCTTTCAGAGAAATAGAGTTCAAGTTTATTTTTCCGAATGTTCGGAGAAATAGAGCCGGCCTTTTAATTAATTTCGTACTGAAAAATAGAAGCAGCACAGATCTACTCCTAATTTTAATTTGGAAGAGGCTAGCCGTACTTATTCTTAATTTGATGGCTAGACTGACCATAAAAAAAGGCATACTGAATTGTAGTTTGCAGTACCTAAAGTATTTGTATTTGATACTAAACCAGGTGCCTTAAAATAATGACAGTGCATGTATTTTAAACCTCCTGTTTTCTAATGTTAATAGGGCCTAAGATAAGTATGGCTAGACTGGTAGTCTAGTACGGCTAGACGGCTAGGCTAGCCGTACTTAAGGACGGCTAGAGCCGTACTGTCAGGCTAGCCATACTTGATGGCTGAATTGTAAATGAAATTTTTATTTTTCAGAGCCTAAAGTATTTGTATTTCAGACAAAAACCAAAATGTGCCTTGCTGACTTGCATTATTCAAACCTGAATAATTACTAGATCTAGATCTAATGAGACCTGTGTACTCAACAGGTTCGTCGAGTCGATAGGGCCAAACCTACATCTAAGTACGGCTAGCCACTTCGTTTTAATTTTGTACTGAAAAATAGAAGCAGCACATCTCTCGCTCTCTTTCTTCAGATAAAACATCGATACCAAGTTGGCTATTTAAGTCAGTATCGATCCAGTCCCAGTTCTCTTGGGGCCAAAACCAGAGAATGCGGACAGTACATACATACATACATACATACATACATACATACATACATACATACATACATACATCCATCCATCCATCCATCCATCCATCCATCCATCCATCCATCCATCCATCCAATATATATATATATATATATATATATATATATATATTCTAGTCATATACAGATATTTTACTTTTGCAAGAGGCTATTCTCCGGCATCGCGCCAGTCAATACATCAGAAGGTATTCTCCAGCGTCGCGCCACCTGTCTATTACTAATAATTTGTCGTGCAGATTTGCAAATATCTCTCTCATCTGTTTGTCTTGGAAAAAAATTCCCACAACTTTACTACTTTGTGCCACTTCCATTGATACAGACGATAGGTTTTCAGACACAAACTGCCCCAATTCCTCCAATTTAGAATTATGTTGGGTGCTAGAAGAAAAGTGTCCACAACTATCGACACGAGTTCATAACAAAGAGTGAGCATAAGAATTAGTCACATTTTCACTGCTTACAAAAATGAAGATACGACAAGAAAGCACTGAAGTCGCGACATATCAGTTAAATTGATCGCAAATTACAACAACAAGAAATAAACAGCAAGCTATAGGCCTAACTATATAGGCTACTAGATCTAGATCTATATGACTAGACGGGATTTTAGATACAAGATCAATTTTGTTTGTTTAAATAAACAGAATCATTATAATTTCTTTAACGGAGTGTCTACGTACACGGTAACTGGGCGCGTAGCCTCAGGGTCTACGTACACGGTAACCGGAAAGTTCAAGAGATAGTTCACTCAGCCAAAAAGAGTGTCACGTTTATTGTTTTTCACACAAGTAGGGTAATAGGGTAACTCTGTTCGCAAAGTTTGCGCTTTTTCGAAGAGGGCGCACTAGGGTCAACCGCACTATAGTCCAGCATGCCAGCATGACACCCACTAAATTTCATAACAGAGCCTTCCCTTTCGCTTTCGTTACCACCAAGAAATTTGTCAGTAATTGTCTGATAACGCAACAATTATAATAATTATTATTGTAACATGCAGGTTCGGATTACAAACGTGGTGTTGCCATGAAAGTAAATCGATATTTGTCACTGTGTCGTCACTTATAAGGGCAACATGAAGAAAAGAAAGTTATACAAGCGTCTTGTCGGGCTCGCCATTGTGGCGGGTCAATGAAACTGCGCGCGTTCTGAGCGCTGCGAAGTACAGGACTCAGATGTTATTGATTTTTTTTAAAAAGACGCACTCTGGGATAGGGAAAGGGCTGGACGAAACACCAGAGGACAAAACAACTGAAACGGGAAGCAAATATGTTTAATGTTTAGAATTTTGATGACAACTACAGCTCTCAGCTAAGTAAAGTGTGCGTGGGTGCAGGCCTTGAGTGAAAACGGCCTAAGTGTTTGCGTTTCATTGGATTGGTGGCAGTATATTTTAGCTTTCTGTACAAGATTCGCAGATTTTCAGTATCACTGCATCTTGCCCTCCCACAATTCTTACACCTCTCACACTGAATAGGTCTACTTGGGCTATTCTTCTGTACTTTGAGTTAGAGCATTAATTTTTGTCTTTCACGTTTATTATATAGGCCTATGATATGAATCATGACAGTCGATATTCTGGTTCTAGGCTCAAAGCAAGATTCATTGTTTTATAGTTTATATGCAGGCGAATATGATGAAGGGAAAATATTAAGTCACACAAGACCCCAGGCGCCACTACTTTCTGTACGTAATCAAGATTGTAAATTTGGTACGTGACTCTTACTTGAAATTATCTGCCAAACCCTGAAAATGATGTGAAATAACCTTGCTTTGATAAATTGATGGTTTTCATTTCAGCATTCTAGGGTTCAACAGTATATAATAATGGGTGTTTCGCGAAAATGGGCTTCTGTGGCGATCACCCGGAAAGTTCCTCCTTTTTTTAGAATTCTGAGTTGAGACCCATGAGATTTACATAAGATGAAATTGGTTTTCAAAATGCTGTGATGTCACACCCTTTGGTGCAGAAAAGCAAGCATTAGACCAAATACTATAGCCTTTGGGTGTTGACCATAGCTAAAGATGTACTTTTCCATGTTTGATTTTGACTGTCTTGTCTCTTCCATTAGTTTTAATATGTCCTGGGTCATTCACTTTTTATTTGCTCTTTTAGCTTTCATATTGTTTTATCCAATGTGTAGGTTGTGTGATTTGTGCGTGTTCAGAGACAGAGAGAATATCGTTGTGAGGCTATGGAGATTTTTGTTTATAATGTAACTACATGTACAAAGTCATAGTCAAGTCTACTTCTGACAAACTCAACCAATAAAGCTATCCTCACATCGTTTCATCCAATGTGTATGTTGTGTGATTTGTGTGTGTGTGTAACATGCTAAGTATTAAAAAATAAATATATTTAGAGGCTATTCACACTTGTATGCATGATGTGTGTCTGTGTGTCTCCCCCTCTCTCTCTCTCTTCCTTCCTCTGTTTTCTCTCTCTCTCTCTCTTCCTTCCTCTGTTTTCTCTCTCTCTCCCTCTTCCTTCCTCTCTGTTTTCTCTCTCTCTCTCTCTCTCTCTCTCTCTCTCTCTTCCTTCCTCTCTGTTTTCTCTCTCTCTCTCTTCCTTCCTCTCTGTTTTCTCTCTCTCGAGATAGTATTACATGTTTTGTAAACATCTATTTAATAATAATAATAAATGACATTTATAAAGCGCTCAACCCCGAATAAAGTACACAGGCTCTGAGCGCTTTACAATATAGTACAACATACAACAGTAACATGAAACGTTGTGTTCTGACTAAAGAAAATTATTCCAAATATTCATCTTATTAATTTAAAAACAGAAACGACTTCAGCTGACATTTGAATGAATCAAAAGATTTGATTTCTCTCAACGTACTTGTTAAAGCATTCCAGATCTTGGGGCCTTGGTATTCAAATGCCCTTTCAACCATTGTTTTAAGTTTCATAGATGGTAAAATAAATTTCTTTTTGTCAGCTGATGATCTTAAACTGCGAGTTGGAATGTACAGTCTTAACAGATTTGATAAATATGATGGTGCATTATCATTCAAACATTTGTGACATATGGTAGCCAACTTGTACACAATCCTTTTCTCAACAGGATGCCAATGCAAAGTTCGTAAAAGAGGTTTAGCAGAGTCTCGCTTTCTTTTCCGTAAAACTAAACGTGCTGCATTGTTTTGGACAGTTTGAAGTCTTTTAACTTTCTCCAGTGATATTCCTGATAACAAAGAGTTACAATAATCGAGTTTTGATAAAATTAAGCTAGTTACTAGTAAAGCAGTATACTTGGTGTTGATCAGATGACATATTTTACTAATTCTTCTTATTTCTAAATACAAGCAGCTGATCAGATGATTTACCTCAGCCGACATTGACAAACTAGAATCAAAATAGATGCCAAGATTCTTAACTTTTCTTGAAAATAAAATTTTTGCATCACCAATTTTAATGTGATCATGGTCAACCTCTTTAACAGACTTTGCACTGCCTGCCAGAATGACTTGTGTTTTATTATCATTTAACATCAATTTATTTTTGTTCATCCAGTTTTTCACCAAGGCAATACAATTTTCAGCACGATGGACAAGTTCATCTAAGTTGGTAAACAATGTTGAACCATAAATTTGGGTATCATCAGCATAGAAATGGTATTTTAAGTTATATTTAACTATTTCCTTGACAAGTGGTTGAGTATAAAGGGTGAACAAAACATATTTTAGCTTTCTGTTCCAGATTCGCAGATTTTCAGTGTCACTTCACTTTGCTCTCCCTAAGGAAAGATGACAGGGGGTAGATTGGAGTCATTTTTGGGATTACATTCCGCTCACAACACACAAAAAGCGGAGTGAAAAAGGAAAAAGGTCAAGGTCATGAAGGGAGCGACGCAGTTACCGTGCACCTAGCCCCCCCCCCCCCCCCACGAAACAGATGTTCGTAGATAATGAGAGGCCCCCGGTTGCCGATTACCGTGTACGTAGATGTTGAGGCTACGTGCCCGGTTACCGTGTGTTTGACATTGAGACTACACGCCCGGTTGCCGTGTACGTAGATATTGAGGCTACGCGCCCGGTTACCGTGTGTGTGACATTGAAACTACACGCCCGGTTGCCGGTTACCGTGTACGTAGATATTGAGGCTACGTGCCCGGTTACCGTGTGTGTGACATTGAGACTACACGCCCGGATGCCGGTTACCGTGTACACGTAGATATTGAGGCTAGGTGCCCGGTTACCGTGTGTGTGACATTGAGACTACACGGTGAAAAAGGAAAAAAGTCAACGTCATGAAGGGAGCGAAGCGGTTACCGTGCGTGCACCTAGCTCAAGCCCACTTCCGCACCCCCACCCCCCCTGAAACTAAGTACACGGTTACCGTGTACGTAGATATTGAGGCTACGGGCACGGTTACAGTGTATAGGCGACATTGAAACTACACGGTGAAAAAGGAAAATATAATGTCAACGTCAAGAAGGGAGCAAAGCAGTTACTGTATACCTAGCTCAAGCCCCCCCCCCACGAAACTAAATACCCGCTTACCGTGTACGTAGATATTGAGGCTACGCGCCCGGTTACCGTGTATGTGACATTGAGACTACACGCCCGGTTGCCGGTTACCGTGTACGTAGACACTCCGTTTCTTTAAAGCCTTTAAAATAGGCCTCGTTTAAAATAGGAAGTGGCTATTCTCACCCGGGGTGAGAATAGAAATACAATCGACCTCTCACCGCGGGTGAGACTTGCCACCGTAGGCTATTCTCACCCGGTGTGAAACAAGACCTGTTTTTCCTAATTTCGGAATACTTTCTCTATCAATGTGGATGATCAGATGGATAAACTTTGATAAAGGCAAAGAAAAGAATACGTTATAGCACAAAAGTAAGCTAATTCGATCGTCTACAAAGATTCTATGGCTATTTCACTTTTCGAATCGAACTGAACTATGGGGGTCGCCATTTTGTTTTGCCCGGAAGTTCTCGCAAGATCTACTCCTCCCCTCTTCTCTCTCTCTTGTCTCTTTCTGAATACTGTCTATCGGTGTGGACGATCAAATTGACCAAAACAAAGTAAAAAAATGATGTTAAAACACAAAAGTACATTAATTTGGTCGTCTACAAAGATGCTATGACTATTTAACTTTTCGAATCGGGCCGAACTACGCGGGTCGCCATTTTGTTTTGCCCGGAAGTTCTCGCGCTACTCCTCTCTCTCTCTCCACTGCCCACAGACAAAATTGTACGCTTTTAGTAGGCTAACAGTAAATAGAACGTTTGTTCATGGCACAGAATTCTACAATTTTTCTGTTACAAAATCAGTGTAGAATTCTGTGGTTTAAGGGTGAACGCAAAATTGGTTAGCCTAGATCTAGGCTATAACAGTGAACGGACACCGGGTGAGAATAGCCAAAAGACTCACCTGCTCTATTCTCACCCGTGGTGAGAATAGAGGTGGCCTTAAAATAAGCAAAGACGATGGAAATAATTTTATAAGTGAATAAAGTCATGTTAGACAAATACCATATAGATTTCTAGATCTAGATAGATTCTAGATCTAGGTATCTAGATTCTAGATTTAGATAAAATATAATGAAAGGTAGACTTACTAAATCTAGATATAATCTATATCTATAGACTCTAGATCTTGATCTAGAGATCTAGATCTAAGATCTAGATTCTAGATCTACATCTAGCCTCTAGGCCTAGATCTAGCGATCTACCTGTTTATCAAGTTTCATTTGGGATTGTTGTTCCGGGACCGTGGAGTCTTTTCGCTTGTTGTGTGACAACTGATCAGACTGAAGTCCAGATCCGCTCTCTTTCTGTAGTTTCTTCTCCAATTTCTTAGCTTTCCACTTACGTCTACCCATTTTGAAGGATACAGACACAGACTTAAACAATATCACAAAAGGTGTTGTTCAGTCGGTTACCGCACATGTGGGGAGGAAGAAAAGAAACCGAAAATAAACAAATTCCGGAACTAGCTCTTTGTACCTTTTGTACCCAATCAAGGAAAAGAACTGACACCATTCCAACTTTCTTTCGAAGAGTTGAAAACTGAGTGAAACATGAACAACTCAAATTACAAGCAGTAAAAGGAATCATAATCAAGTGAAATATATTTTACAAGTAAAAAATCACATATATTGCATTCCCTCATTATCTTGAGCTTGTAACACACCAGTAAAACAGAATAAAATAACAAATAAATGCGAATGTGTTTACGTACGAAGCATATTAATTATGACCGGTCCGGTGACCCACAAACTCTTTATTATTTCCTTGTTTACTACGACTGAATGGAATCAGAATTCTGCTGCCGATGGAAGTGGAAGCACGGCACGTATTTTGGACAAAAGCTTACCGTCCTCGGCTTTGAAATAAGAAGCAGGATTTTTGGTTGGATGGGGGTATAAAGGTAAGTGTTTTGGAACACCAATCTAGCTATTCTCCCTCCTTTGGGCGTCGACGCAAATATATATTTCGAGGAAACCAAGTGATCCATTATCGATAACTTGTCTCCGAAACTACCCAGTCACAGCAGTTCATGAAGTCAGTGTGGAATGTTTTTCATCCATGGCCCATGGTCCATATCATGAGATTCTCTTCAATAAAAACATGGAAATCGTTTTATGCATGGATGAAATTGGTCTCGGCTGTCTCGTAATTTCCTGTTAGTAATTCTCAGTTGTGCACTGATATGGTTGGTGATTGTGCTGTGACAACAAAAATGAATTGTTTATCTCCAGTCTCTAACATCATGCCATTTAGTTTAGAGTGAAATGCCACACCCATTTTACTTTGTAAAATAATTGCCTTTGAGATTTGTACAAAAAGGAGTTTTAGATATTCTTTTACTTTCTCTCCCGTCTCACACTTTGCTACCAGTTGTCCATTTTGTACGAGATCTATATCTAGATTCTAGATATTAGATCTAGACTCTTCTAGAGTAGTGTCTATTAGTAGTGAACTTCTTTTCCGTTGCAAATTAATAGTTTTTGAAATATATTTGAATGTTCTTGATCGAGCTATATCACACTGAGCCTAACCCCGTAGTAATTTGCGTGCAATCGGGGGTTTCAGAGGGGGTAAAAAATATGTGGGGGGGTAACAGGCACCCCCCCCCCTGTTTTTACCCATAAAATTTGTTATTTGGCAGAGTTAGGTCTGTAATATTCTTGAAAATAATTGATTTGAGACAGTTTTAGTGGCTTTATGTGTGATCTGCAGCAAACAATACTGCAGTTTGACCCCCAAGGCAGTACATCTGTGTGCAGGAGTGAGAGTAAAAATTTAAAAAATTTTATCATTTGGTAGGCATTGATTTGTTGGCACTCCTCTGAGGAATTGTGGTCTGTGATGTAAACACAAAAATGGAAGTAGACGATATCTTGTATTTGTAGTAATGGTCTTGAACTGAAACTGAAATGAAATCTTACTCTTAGAGTGAAGACAAAAAGTCAAAACAACTCAAAAGAGCAATTTACACCCAAGTGCGGACGGCCGGCACACCGAGCCTTATATTCTTTACACAAGACCATAAAAAGATACTGTTTTTTATCAGCAGTTTCCACTTCCGTTTTTTGTGTTTTCAGCACAGACCACAATTCCAGAGTGCCGATTTGTTTTGTAGAGATCAGTTCTGTCTTCGCTTTGGCTGATCAGTGATGGAAAAAAAAGGCATATATATATATATATATATATAAAAGAGTTGTAAGTCCAGAACTAAAAATTGAAAACTAGAGTCTAGATGTACTTCTTCAGAAATCTAGTTGTTAGTAAAGGTTTCATATTTTTGTTTTAGATATATATATGATAAATTTATTATCCTCGTACAGAGAATAACTTATAAAGTTGTAGAGATAAGTTTCAAGTTTAGTTTATTTCAATTCAATATTAAAATGGGCTGGGTGAAGGCCATTTCACACCATGAGCAGCAAACAACACTGAAAAAAACAAAAACAAAAAACAAACAATTTATAGTTTTAGTTTCAGTAGAGGTTTTACGGCGCTCGCAACTGCATAAGGTCACTGCAACAATTTATAGCCTAATTCTAAGAAAGCTACTTGATTGATTTTAAAAAAAATAAAATTTTAAGGCTATGGCAACGGTAATCAGTAGTTGGCCTACATGAGGAAACAAGCTCCAAGCACTCATGAGTCATTCCCAACCACATGCTGTAAAAGCCACCTAGGGCCTAATTGATTTGCCGCAGTTTTAGTGATAGTGATCTGCAGCAAACAATACTGCAGTTTGACCCCCTAAGCAGTGTGTAATTCGGGAGTGAAAGTAAAAGTTTACCAAAATTTATTTGAGTGTTGATATATATATAATTATAACAATACCATGTGGTCTACAGGACTTTGCTGTCATATATCACAAATAAAGTGTATCATTGGCCCTTTTGTTTTCGAGTGTGTTGAATATGAAGGTGTGGAAAAGTGGAGTTTCAGATTTTGTGTAAACCGGTTTAAATAATCTGACTTTGGGGGGGGGGGGGGGGGTGTAGCGATATTTTACAGGACATGCAGATATAGTTATAGTATTTTTTGTTAGGTAGCATTTTCTTCTTTCTTCTTGTACACATGATAAAAATATAATTCTGGTGGCCTGATCTTTGGGGTTGCATTTTTTTTTTAGAAGCAATCCCACACTTTTTAGACCTCAAAACTTCAATCAAAGTAAAGGTAGAATTCAATATTTCCTAAATAATTTCTAAGAGCATGACAGAGATAGTTTTTTTCATGATTTTGAACTTTTAAAGAGTTTATAAATTTCTATTGTATGATTCTTTATAAAATACAGTCAAACCTTCTTCAAAGGAGATAAATAATGGATGGTCCAAACTCATTTTATTTTACATTTTTTAGAGTTGCATGATTTAGACTAAATAGCCGACATGACATAAAATACAAATTTTTCTTGTAGGGTATGGTTTTTTATGTTTTTTTTGTATTTTAAAAGACTTAAATATTTTTGTAGATTCAATTTTTTGTCTTTCAGGGTCCACTTCAGGACAAAAATTACGGTGCAACCCCCATTTCTAAATACACTTATTTGTCTGATCCATCATGGCTTTGTACAGTGAAAAGTACCGGGGGGATGCCGGGTTTTTTTTTCCCCATCACCGTATATTTATATATTTATATATATATATATATATATATATATATATATATATATGCCATGGTTGTTGTCACTGAACCCTTCAGTTTTGCGTCTAGTAAGTAGATAAAAGATTGCTCTGAGAACTCAATTACCATGCCATAAACTTGGTGGGAGATGCAGGATAAATAACCAATATGAACATAAAAATGACTTGCCAAAATTATTTATAATATGTCTGAAAATGAAACTTTCATTCCAAAAGTACACATTCCAAAGAGGCAAAAGATGATTCACTATTTAATTTGTTCTAGCAGTATTGGAAATACTATAGGCTATAATACCGGTTAATGTGATTATTATACAGACTGTGTTACCCTTTTTGTTAACTTTTTGTGTCTGAAATTTAAGATGGTATCTTGTGAGATGATAACGGTGAATTCTAGCTCGCTCAGCCCTGGAAGTTAAAGCAAAGCCATGTGATCCTTTTGAATTCTTTAGATGAGTAGTGACTCAGAATTCAGTCTTTTTTTCAGAATACAGCCAAAATGCTCAAACAGCCACAGGTATAAGACAATTACTTGTGCCAGCGGCTTTCCATTCATCCCCCCCCCCCCTTTTGTTATTTTGACATAATTAATTAAAATGATACTGTAAGACATCCACCTTAGATGGCCATTTTCTTCTCAACAATGGGTGGCCGTCTAGACCAATTCGAAGGTACTTATTATTGATGAATGGGGATTTATATTTGCGTTCTGAAATGGAATAAAACCCATTTTGTAATTGCTTTTTTTCTTTCTCTCTTTCTTTCTTTTTTCTTGTTTTGTTCTTGTGCCTTGCCCATTTTTATGAATTAAAAATTGACATCTTATGATTAGCAGACAAAGATGCAAATGAGATTTTGTAATTGCTCATCATGTGTTAGTTTCAACTTATATAGTGTTGAAAAGCTCTATTCTCATGTAGGTTGTTTTTTCTCCAAACAAGAGTCTTTTATCCTTTTCAGAACATGGCCTTTGACAGTGAGTCCAGGATTAGTCTGATGGCCTACCCTCTTAGCTTGGCTGGTGCCTTATTCTTATAGAGACATTCAAATCTTCCCTCAAGCATGGATGGTGTAAAAACTGGCCAGAGACTTCTGCTGGCCTTGACCTCTGGGGTCGGCAGCGATGACCTGGTGGGGGATACAGCAGATGTGCAGCCCTCTTTTGCCCCTATCATCATTGCTGCGGCCAGTGGCATATGTTTTGTGGCACTTGTTGCCATGTGCGTGTGCGGAGACAGGTATGAAATGTCTGTGTATTTGGTTTTCTGTTTTGTGTTCTTATCTGTTTTTTTCTCCTGGGGGGGTAAAGCCACAATTCCAGGGCCCTCATTTGGTACAAAATCTAAAAGTGACATATATGTCACTAAATTGGTCGATAAATCAAAACAAATGAACCTATTGTGATAGTTCTTTATCTAATGAATGGACTCCCAGTTAAACAGACCTGTTTTTGTGGGTGGTTGGCGGGTGCTGTGGTGTGGTTTGCTCCTTCTTTCCTATCAAACATCTGTCATCCTTATCTCCCCTCCTTCTTTTTTGTGTATTTTACTTTCCAGTAACACATATAATCTATTCTTCGGCACTTATATGGCCTTATTGTGTTGCAAGTGCCGTAAAACTCTTATTAAAACTAAAAGACCTGTTTTCGACAATTGCCAAAAAGCAATCTGACCTCGAAGTCATTTTAATGGAATATGCCCTAGCAGATGCTAGTGAATCACCGGCTCGGCGGTTCCGACCGCAAGCTGCTGAGAGCCCCTTGCCGGAGATGAGGAGGTGAAGAAAATTTCCTATTTCATGAAATAAAGTTTATATTTTCTTTTCTTTTTTATACTGTAAATATTCACCTATGACAGAACCTCGCGTACAAAACAAGGGTATACTTTGACTTGAAAATCAGTCCATTTTTGTAGTTCATGCATATTTAAAGGAGGGTGAGTTTCTGACTGGCTGGAGAGGGTTCAACATGCGTAAAATCAATACTAGATATAGTGTCTTACCTTTGAAAACTGTAGGCTGTTGCATTATAATTGGTTTAATCTTTGAGACAGCAGCACAATTTCTAAAGTCCTCCGCATTTACAACAACTTTCAGCTTAAAGCCGGCCCCACACCCTTCTCCTTTCCTCTTTAGACTGGTCTCCATGACTTGAAATGCCGGTAGTAGAAGGAAAATCACCCACTAGTGGTTAAATGTTGAGAATATGTTATACGAAGAAGTAAAAAAGGACACCTTTGGAAAACGGCTTAGTTCGATATTCAATACTGTTCAATGTAAAATCCCTTTCAGCATTCCTTCCCCTTTATTGGGCCTGATCCTGACTGTATGAAAGTGTATGTTGCATGGAGTAAGTACAATGTGGGGGCTTACTTTTGGACCTCATTGTTTGAAAAAATCGTTTGTAGTTTAGGTGAAATCATGTAGTAATTTCTTTTCTTTCTTTTTTATGTTAATAAGAATGTTACATGTTTTAGTTATCTGTGCTCAACTTTATGTCCCTAAGTCTTAATGAGAAAACATGATAAATAGGATTTCTGTGAACAGTGTGTATAATATATATAACTTATCTAGATTTTTAACACAATCTCTGAAGTGTTTCAGAGTAAGTTTTGTGATAAATAAGTGTCAGTATCAGTCCATTAGTCTAGGAAACTTTCCCTTGAGGCATCTTTGTTTTGTTCTTTGGTATATTAATAGAACAGGCGGGGAATGTTTTTCTATTAAGTCTATTGTAACTCAACTGATCAGCAGTAATCAAGTTGTCTGCTGGTGATTTTTTTTTGTGTGTTTCAGCTCCTCAGTTTCAGTTTATTTACTCTTTTTAATGGTTTGGATATGGTTAAAATATTTTTCAAGAAAAATACTTAATACTGAGAGCATCATTTATATTATAGTTTTTATTGTTTCTTTATCTTCTTCTTTCTTTTTCTTTTCATTCTACTCCTATTCTTCTTCCTCCTCCTCCTTCTCATCCTCCTGCTCCTCCTCCTTCTGTTCCTTCTCTGTTTTTCTTTTTTTAGTATCCAGAAGCTAGGTTTGATGCAGTCTTTTGCTTTCACTAGTCTCTAACTGTTTTCAGTTATTAAGATACCTGCTTCACTAAGCCTTATCTTTTTTCCTCTATAATTGTAACATTTTGCAGTGTACTTTTGCAAACCTGAACTGATATTAAAATAAAGATAAGCCTTCCATTTCTGTAGACGTATATAATGTGATCCGCATTTCTTTATACTCGCCCATTTAGTTGGAAATTCCAATGCTTTTAAGAGATAAAGAGAGCAAGTTTTCTGAAATTATGTACACCCTCCTTGTTTTTACTTCGCTGAAGCGTCCTGGTTGGACCAGGATGTAAAAATTCCCCTTTTGACACAAGTACCTTGTCCTTAATCTCTGTAGACATTATGTCTTGTTTTATATGTCATATTTCCTGTTATATATGTAAATGAACATTGAATGTTCCTTGTTTGTGCTTCAGAGGTACTTTAAGTTTTTCTAAAGCTCTTTAGTTTATGTTGCCAGGCTCACTGGGTGGCCAATTTTTTCATAGAAATTTGTGTTATATATATATTGAAATGCGCAGCATAAATGCTATTTATTATTATTATCTTTATGTTGTCTCTATCTCTCTGTATTTTTAGTGCCAAGAAAAAAACAGAGGATGGGTCACTGCGACAGGTAATGGAGGAGAAACCAGGAAGTAAATCAACAGTAAGTGGCTGACACTGAAGGGTGCTACTGATTACTCTTACTGTCAAGTGGCAGTGCATATGCACACATGCTTGGGAACACGTAGTGTACGCACACCCACACTCAGACATAGATATGCACACATTGAGTGCAGGCATGTAAATACACATGGGCATGCATGAACGCACACACACACACACACACACACACACACACACACACACACTCACACACACACTCACACACACATAATATGCATGCTTCGAAAGATAAATATGAGCACACACAAGCCCACACAATCACATATACTTGAGGACGTCCTGTTTATGAATACACTGGCTCACAATCTCATTCCTCTTTCTCCTTTTGTATCCCCATTTGTTCTCTTATCTGGTTTGAAATGGATGTTTGCTTGTCCTGTTTATTATAATTGCCCTGAAGCTTATCTGAACACTTTTCCTAAAAAGCTGTTGAACTGTTTGGGTTTCCTTGGAAGTTACAAAGAACTGAATTTAAATGAGAGAAATATATTTCTCTCTTTTTTTTTCTTGTCCATTCAGGTGTTTTGGAGTGTGAAGCTCTTTAACTTTCTCTAGAGGTTCTTCCTCTTTTATGTTATTGAAGATATTACTAGCATTTGAGTAGGGGAAGGGGGCAACTTAAAGCTGTAGGAAACGTGGAGTGCACTTTGCTTGAAGTGGTGGCTTGTTTTGATGTTTTGTTTGGGCATGGTGTGTATGATGACTCTTTGAAGGGGAAGGAAAGGTTGAATACTTTGTTATTTAATAATCTTTTTTTTTAAAGGCTGTTGAACTTTTCCTCCTGATGTTGGTACTGCCTAGACAACAATGTATTCTGTTGGGGATGTACCGCTCACCTGATGTTATTTTGGGACGTGTTAAAACCAAAACAAAGAATAGTATTATGGTCTCTGCACACAGCTCTTTGGACACTGTTTTGGTTGGGAAGAAGGCAGGGGGTGTGAAGTATAACAACTATTATGGTGGGGGGGGGGGAGGTGGTTGTTAGGCTGAGGTGACGGTGGTGGTTGCCTCTTTGTTCATCAGTTAGTTTAGTTCATTCAGGCGTGGTTGGTTCCACCCTTTCTAGGGTGTGACAAGTTGGGAGGTGTTTTTTTTGTCTGAAGGAGGTGGGCCACCCTATGTAGAATGAAACTACAGTGACACCTACTATAACAAGATGATGAACTGCTGAAAATTTGTTTAAGGTGATAGAGCCATGATAGTAATAGTAATAGAGCTCCAGAGGAAGGTTGCTTCTGACAACAAAAAAACCCACATAATTTAAAAATGGCTCTAGATCTCTATCACCTCTGAGAATATTTTTCTGCAGGTCATTATCTCTATGTTATACATTTAATTGCAGTTTCATTTTTCATTTAGTGGCTCAGGTCGGTGTTATTGTCACCCTTCTAACAGTATCTTCTGAGTCTGGTGTCCAGGTATGGGGGGGGGGGGGGGGGGGGGGGTTTTGGTAAAAATTTTTAAAAAAAATTTTTTTTTTTTGGGGGGGGGGGGGGGGGGGAGGTTGTGGGACTCGATACTCAAGCATATTATGGAGAGAAAGAGAGAGATAGAGAGAGCTATTGTTTAGAATCGTGTGGTGCTTGTGTCCTCTGCATTATTTTAAAAGGGCATTGAGCACTTTCTTAGAGGGAACATATCGTATAAAGGATATTTATTTCATTTTTATTGTATTGTATGTCTCCTTAACTTCTGAAATGACCCGCTGTTACCTAGTGTAGTTGGGAATTAGTTTTAAACAAATGAAAATGATAACTATAGAAATAATAATGCAGATAATTTCTATAGTGCCACACCTGTACGGTACAGCTCTAGGTGCTTCACAAAACCATCATCTTAACACGGTATGCAAGTGAATAACCGTGCATCTATATGCTCTTTACTGATTCAGCCCGCAGATAATTTTGACTCCGAACGTAAATAATTTGTGACCGCTTTGTGACCTCACAGGTGGTCTCATAAAAAACAAATATAGAAATATGTAAATTTGATAAAACCCTATCTTCGGCATACAAAAATGTTCAGAATAACAAATGCTATTCGATGACACCAGAAAAAATGAGTTGAAATGTAAGTGGTAAGGGAAAAAAAAAGACGAGAGGAATATGATGTGAAGAAAAAGTGCAATACATAAGAGCTGCTCTGAGAGGCTCTACGTCAAAACACAGGAGACAATCAGCCGCTGTGAGCGGCGCTGCTGGGTGAATCGGTTAAGATTAGCGCTAAATTATGCTAAATTGTTGACTGTGTTCCAGGGAACCCACCAGCAAGATGGGAGAGAACCAATGGCAGCGCCGACAAGTGAGAACGGTGGTCCCCCATCAAACAGAAACAGTGCAACCATGTCAGGGTAAGTGGCAGTGTGTCTGTATCACTGACAGTGGAACTTCAATTATCGGCCCGCAGTAAACGATATATTTCCAAAAAACTAAGAACAGACAGATATAGAAATTCATTGGTGCCATCTGAAATGAGGTTACTGAACACACAGTGCTACAAATGAAATGGAGAGAGAGAGAGAGAGAGAGAGAATGCTTTACAGAGCGGATTGTTTCATTTTTTTTTTTTGCTCGTAAAACATGTATTTACTAATGTCCTGTCTTGTTGTGTGAATGCGTGAGTGCCCCTAACCTTTGTAATATTCAACTGCCATTGTAACCAACCAAGACAAATTTCTCCCTGTGAGATGAATAAAGATTGTCACTGTCATTGTCTGTGGTGTAGTGGTTGGATTCCGCTCCTTGTGTGCGAAAGATGTGTTTGATCCAAACATTAATTGTGCAGATGGTTGGAGGGAGGATGGGGACTGGTAGATCCTACTTCTTTTTTTTTCCCCTCTGTTCTTTCTATTTGTCTCTCTTACTTTTTTCCCTCAGCACTAAAATGACCATTATTGTGTCGATGTTGCATCTCTTTTCTCAAACAATCAAACGAAATATTTTGTTGCAGTCACAGTCGACAAGCCAGCTCTGGTTCTGCTCACAACCTGCGACCGACGAGCTTACGGGAGTTGCCAGAACCCCCTGTCTCCAGTCATCATGCCCGCAACGCATCGCAGTCTGGTGTTGTTGAAGTTCCATCCAGCTCCGGCCACATGGTCGTCGGGGAGGATGAGGCTAACGACCCTGTGGCCTACGGCTACCACCACTACCACGAGCCAAACCACCACCGGGCCAACAGTAGTGGGGGAGGGATGGGCATTGGAATAGAGAACAATGTTGGGCTGAGGGACAGACCAGGTTCAATCAATGACGGATATGACCACCTGGGGGCGAAGCCCAGCGTAAAACCAACAGGTGAGTGGAGAGTGTTCCGGGTAGGTCCCTATCTTTTCTTGTAAAATATAAATTCCTTGGATATTCCTGTCTTTTAGGAGAGTGTGTGTGTAACAAAATGATTGTTTAAACGAAGAAGACTTTGCTTTTTCAGAGTGAGGGTTCACAGAAATTCTTTTATTTTTGGACCCGAAAGAATTAAAAAAGTCTTGTATTGTTTAGGAGGATGTCAAACTACAATGGTTTTATAAAATGGCAAAGTCTGACTAATTGTATGTCCATCCCATGTGTCTCTCAGATTACGACAGTCTGGCTGCTCCCCGCAGAACACAAGCAGAGACTCCGACGTCGGAAGCAGGCCCGGCCACCGATGGCCACTACTCTCTGCTCCGAGAGAGAACGTACGCTGTTGTCAAGGACGTGAAAGCTAAGGCGTCAAAATTGTACGACCCGTATTCCCTTGTGAAAGACGAGGATGAAGATTCCTCGCAGACAGGATCAAATTATTATGCTCAGGTACTGTAAAACCCTGTTTTGTGTGTACAGCTTTTAAGGGGGGTTTGATTATAACACTTCAATGTCAAGTAGGTGCTCCTCTACGGCTGGGAAACTTGGAAAACAACAAAGACAGTACTGAATAAAGTTCAGACTTTCATCAACAGATGTATGAGGGGTATCCTAAGAAATAAATGGCAGGATAGAATAAGAAATGAAGAGCAGTAGGAAAGGACAGGACAAAAGGATATAGAAGTAGAAATAGTACTAAGAAAGTGGCGATGGATTTGACACACCCTTAGAAAGCCCAACAGAAACATCACAAGACAGTCGCTGCAGTGGAAACCACAGGGAGCACAAGGCAGGGGAAGGCCTCGGGAAACATGGAGGAGATGTGTTGAAAGGTACATGAGAGAGATGAAGCTCACTTGGAACGGGCTTGGAAGGATGGCCCAGGCCAAAGATAAATGGAAGGAGCTTGTAGTATGCAACCTATACCCTGCCAGGGGTGAAAGGCACTGATGATGATGATTATAACACTAAAAGCCAATTGTTTGTGCATTCGCTTTTGTGGTTTGCACCATCTACATGTTACTATAGTGCTAGGTTGTTTATGGTCAAATGAGAATGTTATAGTGGCGGGTTGTTAAAGATTACCTCTGAATATAACGTGTTGGATTCCCTTTTTTTCTGTCTTTGTGAGGAATGTCCTTGAAAGAGGACCTCAGAAAAATTTATTTCAGTTTTGGTTTTTACTTTTGCCTCAACAGTTTTCATTTTTAGTGCCTTCTTTCTTAAAGCTAATAATTATCTCTTTTTTCCCTCCTGGGAAACTGTTAAAAAATATATTTAATAAAGTTTACGTAGGGGAATATTATGGTACTAGATTGACTTATATCTCAGTATCAGCTTGGATTTTCTTGAATTACTTTTCTTTTCTCTGTCATAATGGAAGTCTTCGAATTAAATTTCTTTTGTCATGGTCGGATGGTTATAAGGCTCAGACAACCACTTTAGTATATGGTCATACCATGCTATTTGCTTTGAATTCTCATAAGTAGTACTTGTGGTTGCTTTATTTTATCTTTTTTAATTTGAACTGAGTATTATATTTATGTGACTGTCTTTTTCAGGAGGACCCCTACAACCATATCGGAGAATCTGATGGAGCAGTGTCAGCGGCGCTGATCCGCAGAATCCAGCAGTCTGGGGACGCGGATGATCCATATGCCACGCTGGGAGACGAGGAGGGAGGAGATGGAAAGAGCGGTGGCTCAGAGCTACAAGGCGCTGTAGGAGGTGAGGACAGGGGTTCTGTGTGTGTTTTGATGTGGATGTTGAGTGTGTGTGTGTATCTGAAAGTTTTTATTTACGGTTGCTTTTTTAAATCTGGGAGTTTTTGGGTGTTTATGGAAAATTAAATAATGATGGAGGTGAGGGGAAGAGCGTTGGCTCAGAGCTTGGTACGTCTGTGTGCATATGTGCTCATTTTCACGAGCATGAATGTATGTGTGCAAGTTTTTGTTGCAGTTACTTTTCTATATCTTGACGTTTTGGAGATTTTACAAAGCCTGCTTCACTATTGATAGGGATAAGTGATCTTTTTCTTCCTGTTTATTGGGGAAATTTTAAAAGATAATTAACAATGAAAACAAAAATGTGGCATCATAGTGAAAGTGAGTTTTGTAGTTTAAAAAATATACATGAATTTCTTTTAAGCCTTTTTTTTCCCAGCATGATGCTGACTGTTCTGTCTTTTAGTAAGGTTTTTTTTTCTTTCTTTTTATTTCCCCCCAACATAATACTTACTGTTGTGTCTTTAGGTACTCTTTTCATAGTGTTGTTTTCTTTTTTTTTTTTCCAATATGATACTGACTGTTTTGTCTTTGGTACTCTTTTAATAGTTTTTATTTTAATTTTTTCCCCAACAAGATATTGACTGTTCTGTCGTTGATACTCTTTTCATAGTTTTTATTTTCATGTTTTGTCCCAACCTGATACTGACTATTCTGCCTTTGGTATTCCTTTAATAGTTTTTACTTTCATCACAGGTGCAGCTTCCCATGCTGTGTCCCCATCGACTGCGGCCACTGTGACCCCTCTGTCTCAGTTCTCAGCCCATGACTCGTACTCTGAGGTGTCGGACGAGTACGCCGTGGTGCAGAAGTCGTCTCGCGGGACTCCTAGCTTTGTCCAGGAGCAGGAGAATGGGACAGAGGACAGCTTGGACATAGCGCCGTACAGCGTGGGTCCGCCCGAACCTCCGCGCCGCTACCACCTCTATGAAGAGGAGGAGGGGCATTTTGCCGAGTCTTCTGCTCACCCGCCTAAAGGTTTTTTTTTCTCCTTCTCCATCTTGTTTTTTTTTTCTATTTTTTCTTGCTGTCATTTGATAGAGGAATAAGAGTATTTGTTTGACATTAACAATTCAAGATAGATGAGTATTTTTTCATCAAAAGTAAGACAAATGAACATTCTTTAAGATGATACCAATAACTCCATATGCCTAAAAATTTGACAAGCGCCGGATTCCACTGCGCTGTGACTCAAATTTGTGAATTCTGTGTCCTATTCCTCAGAGCACAAATACTCCAAAGTGACGGCGAGGGAGTCGTTAGCCAGTATCTCGGCCAGGACTGCTCTGAATCCTTACGAGTTTGTGCCCGACCTCCCGGAGAACACTTACGCTACTGTAAGTAGGAGAAAAGCATATAGTTATAAGGAATGGTCTTTTCTTATGTTGAGACCATTCTACAACCTTTTTAGTGATTTTTCTAAAATTATTGGGTCTATTACAGCTTTAATAATTGACTGTGAATAGTTACACAGTGGGTTATAAAACGTTTACTGTTAGCCTGCATTGGTGTTCCCAAACGTTGATGCAGAGCTTTGGATATTTACATGGGGGCTTCAATATTACCAAATGACATTGGAATTTTAGTCGTAACACCTGCCTTGGTGTTTTCATTTTCTGAGAACTGAGAATGTTTTGTATTTTTTTCAAGCCATGCGTTATATTTGCTCTCAACATCCAGGAACTTAGTTCAGTTTGCCAATTTGCTTGACATTTATTGTTGCAAGTTGTGCTGTGTGGTGAAAATGTGGATTGCTTTTGTAAAGCTTTCATATATTTATAGGTAACTCTCTACTTGCCTGTGATCATTGTTGGAAATATTATCGCAAGTTTTATTAGATTAAGAACCTTATCTTTGCTGGCTTTACAATGATGTATTTTTTGTTGCAAAAGCTTTTACCCAAAACAAAACAAAAACACAACCCCCCCTCCAAAAAAACCCCCCCAACTATGTTCCCGATGAAGCCTGAGCAGTGAAATGTTGGACAATTCCGTAAATTCCAAATTGCATTGTATACCTCTAATTCCTCATTGATATTTTTTTAAATTGCATTGCAGATGTAATATTATGAACTGATTTTATTACGAGTGCAGCCAATAATAACATTATTTTTACTGAATTACAGATGTAATATTATGAACTGATTTTATTACGAGTGCAGCTAATAATAACATTATTTTTACTGAATTACAGATGTAATATTATGAACTGATTTATTTACCAGCATAGCCAATATTAAATGATCAAGAAGAATACCTTGTGGAACCTGGAAAAGAATCACAGAAATTGATGTAAAGGAAAGTGGGAAGACATGGAATAACATCCAAGCGGCTATCCCAGGATATGGAAAGGTGGAAAGTGTTAATTCCTGGCCTATATCCTGATCCAGGGTTAGAAAGGCAATGATGATGATGATGCAGCCAATAATACCAAAATGTACTTCAAACCTTGTTTTCTGCTTCCAGGTTGAGGGTGGTTCTGGTGATGGCATTGTCAGGGAAGTGACCTTGAGAGGGACCGGAGGTGCAGCCGCTGCTGCTGCTGCTAGCACCGAGACCAACCGACTCAGCCAAAACAGTGACACGTATGCAGAGATAGGTAAGTTAGTGGTTGGTTTGTGAGACCAAGGTTTTCGTTTTTTGTTGAAGTTTCGTGGCCTGCCTCCTGTTCACAGTGAGCATTCCATTCGCTAAGGAAACATCATTCTGGACAACTGTGATGAGGATGATCTTTGTGGGAAATCCTTGGGGACTACTCTGAGGGAGGGTGTTATAGGGGGAGTTTTTTCTTCATGTCTCCCCCCCCCCCCCCCCCCCCCCCCCCCCCTTTCCAATGCGTCCTTTGTATGACTATGCATATGAGACTGTGGATCATCACCTTTTCCACTGCACAGCCCTAAATGACATCAGAGCTACACTTCTTCCTTCAAGACCTAACATTGACAACACACAGTATGGAACATTATAGCAACTGCAGCAAACCTGCACTTATCACTTCATGGCATTGAACAGAAGGACGAGAGCCCAGCTGTTGCTGGATTGATAACAACTGCAACAACAACATGGCTCTCTACCTACTTGACTCAGTCCTATCAGAGACAAGCTTAAAATTTGGAGGTCTCGCCTCTTTAAATGTCCTTTTAGTCTACGGTTGTTGGGAGGTGGGTTAAGGAGAGTGATTATTTGTACTGATGATTGTCTTGGACAGGTGGTCGTTAGAGCAGGTTCAACTGTACAAGGAGTCTATCCTTATGCAGAATGAATGTGCGTCAGATCAAAGTGTTGTAAAAAGCGGAGTTGTAAAATTATTCACGAGTTGTTTTGATGATATCTTGCCTGCTCTCACTGTCTCTGATGTTCTCTATTCAATGGTATTTTCTCTCTCTCACTGTGGCACCTATATTGGGCGGTGGTCTGTCCACCTGTATCACCATTACAGGCAGTAGCGCTGGTGGTGGTGGTGGTGGTGGTGGTGGGGGAGGGGGGAATGAGGGGAGCACAGAAAATGAATTGTGATGATGATATCTTGTTTGTTTTTGGTTCTTTTTGGTAAGTGTTTTACAGCGCTCACAACTGCATTATGTCATATGAGTGCGCGGAACACATTTAACTTTTTCAGTTGTCTTTTGTCACTGCCTCTAATGTTCTCTATTCGATGGTATTTTCTCTCTCTCCCTTTGGCAGCAATATCGGGCGGCGGTCTGTCCACCAGTATCACCAGTACTGGCAGTAGCGCTGGGGGCGGCGGTGGGGGAGGCAGCAACAGTCTGGGCAGCAGCAGTGGCGCCCCCGTCCCCCCATCGCTGGACTCGCTGCACATGATGACCAAGTCACAGACCTCCAGCGAGGGCGACCGTCTCAGCGACCGACTGAGCGACAGACATTTGGCTTCTCCGGAAGATTCTGCTCTGGGTATTTTCCCGTGGGCGGATGAGCTGGGCACAGGTTCGGCTGACAGCAGTGAGGACGGGTACAGCACCCTGAGACGAACAGAGCCGTATTCTGCATCGGATACGACCCTCCGAGGCACCGCTGCGGACTCCCGAGTGAGAGACGCTGAATCTGGTGAGATCACCCTAGTGCCGAATTATCAAAAGGTGAAAGACTGTATTTCTGATAATGAGATAAACGAGGAGTGTGAGAACGATCCGAACTACGAAAGCGTGGATGAAGCACGGTCAAAAGTAGCTGCACTAAAGGCGAGTAAGGAAGCTGCTGTCGTTTCCTCAAGCCATTCAAAACCGACGGCGTCTCCGATTCATCTTGTGCAGTTCCCACCGGTGGAGAACGGAGTTCTCACTTCTATGACGCCTACTCTGGGTCACCCGTCAAATGGAGAATTCTCCATCTCGTCGACTTCAACAACGTCTCACGGCAGACAGAAGAGGATGGACCACGACTATGAGGAAGTGGACCTCAGCCCTCCAACATCTCCTTCGCAACCTGGTGGACCCACGCCTGGTCTGACTCCACATCTCTCTCCTTCAACTACACCGACGGGTGCCACCAGCGCGACCTCCTTTGTGAACTCTGACCCTCAGGCAAGCCCACAGTCCGTCAGCGAGGCCAAGGAGAGGCTCACACACAACCACCTTTATGAGGAACTCGCGGACGTTAGACTGAAAAAACAGGGAATGACCAAAATCAATTATGAGAAATCTGGAAAAAATGTCGAGGAGCGAAAGAAAGGAAGTGCTTCAAATGATAAGAAGAAAGGAGAGGAGAAGAAGAAGGGAGGCTCAGAAGAGAAGCGGAAGAGTGGGTCAGAGGAAAAGAGGAAGAGTGGAGGAGGAGGAGACGAGAAGAGGAAATCGGGTGCTGCTCAACCAAAAAACACTCGGCTGTGACTGGTCTGATTGTAGATGTTCTATTCCTTAGTCAAAAACTTCTTAAGATATCTTAATCCTTTAAAATCTTAAGGCCTCTATGCCGGTTCAGGGTGTGTTTATCAGCATTCTATAAGGCTGTTGCTGGTGGAGCTAACTACTTTCAAGTAGTCCAGGGATGGGGGATTTGAGAAATGTCTAAGTCAAGAGTTCAAAGGTTTAATGGTTCATGTGAAAATAAAGGAGGTGGGAGGAAAATATTAAGGGGAGGGGATTATGTAGTAATATCTACAGAATGGAATACATTTAAATTTTGTGTTTTTTAAAAAAAGAAAAGGACTCAAACGCTGTGTCCATGAAATACCCTATTATTATTATTATCATTATCTGAACTGATTCAAAGACTGAAATGGTCAAAGTTAAGAAAGGACACTTCTTCGGGCAGCACATTCCCAGTAATGATGGCCGCCCAAGGTTCTGACAAAGTGGCACGACATAAGTCGCATCTACCCCTACAAAGACTTATGTTATGACAGCCTGGTCACTGTTTTTGAGCCGTCGCCGTTGTTTCCTCACAGATATTCTTGACTTTCCACACGAAAGTTTTTGTAACTTTCTTCAGGGCTTCACTGGTTCGCTTCTGCTTCAGAGAGCTTTGAGTATAAATGTGGACCAAGTGGCCTTAAAAAAACTCCTGCGAATGAAGCAAATGTGCGTTGTGGAAGAGCCAGGAAATGTACGCAACTGAAGCGGGTTGTTGGAAACTGGTGTCGGTCTGGCCATCTCTTTCCTTATTTGTGAGGTGTTTGTGCTTTTTCCCCCCCAGCAGTAAATAATCCTTGCTTTGTGGATGGGCTTTTCTTAAACTCTGACATTTCTGGAGTTCTGAAGACATGGGAAGTTCCAATCTGACAGGTTTTCCTTGTTTGACAGTTACTGTATTACTGTAAGCTTTGGGGGGGGGGGGGTTGGCTCATGACTTGAATTTGCGAATTTTAAGTTCAAAATTTGTGAATTCAATTTGTTAACGAAATGTTGGGGGGTAGGGGAGCGCTGTTGCATTGGAACACATGATAGTTATCGGCTCATATCGCAAATTCAAAATGTTCGTGATATGGGGAAAAGTTTTTAAAAAGAAAAATAAATGTTTGTACAGTAAACACAGAGCCAAGAAAACTTGCTGGGTACTGGTGGCTTTTCTTTAACCTCTGTGGTGACATTATTTTTTTTGGAAAAGGCTAGTGAAGGTGGGTTTTTAAAAATGTTTTATTTAACAATATATTATGGCTGTTACTGTGTTTTAACTGTGGTTCAGCTCAAACTCTGTGTTTGCTTCATAATTTAATCAGAAAGCCCAACAGCTCTTTGGTCCCATTTCTTACAAAATATTTTGTATTTATTGAGCTGGGAGGCATACCACTAAAGTCTGATGTTGTACTGTATTTCTGGCACATGTGAGATTTTTAGAGTTTACACTGAGTGAGAAGGGGATGGGTGTAATATGCATAGCTGGAACAAAACTAGGTATTAGATATATAGGGTTTCACGTGTTGAGAAGATAGTCTGTGAACGAATATAGAGGCTTCTTGTGTCTCGAAGACTGTGTCCGTGAACTATGTTGGAATCAACTTTTGCTTCTGTGAAGATTGTGAACTTTCGTGGGACCTTCTTATTGTGGGAGGGTCATCAGTGATCTGGTCCATGAACTATCTTGGAATCTTCTATTGCTACTGTGAAGACCCCGTGGACTATTATAGAACCCTATTGCCCTGAGGTTATCTCTGTGAACTGTCTTATAATACTCTGGTGCTGTGAATACTGTCCATGAACCAACTTGTTGTCTTCTTGTTCTGGGTTTGTCAACTGAAAACTGTCCTTAAATTATCCTGTAATTTTTATGTGCTTTGAAGATTGTCAATGAACTGCTATAGAATCAGTGGCCTCTATGGGTAATCCATAAGCTCCTTGCCTTTGCTCATAAGAATTGTGAATCTGATTCCAGTCTGCGAAAGTTATTTTATGGAGTATCTCCGTCTTTCTGCTTACATGCTTTGTCCCACTGTTTAAGCTGGCCCCGACACACCAAGTCTTAACAAACTGCCTCCCAAGTGATCTAAATTATGGTAAGAGGGATGTAAATTTAATGTTTACAGTCATTGTAAGCGTTGAACTCTGTGTGTAAGGTTTTTTTTTACTGTTGCTGCTTCCTGCGATGCAAAGTCTTAGCAACCTGCCTCCTGAGTTATCTAATTTATGGCGATAGAGATGTAAGATGTTTACAGTCGTTGCAAAATATGAAATCTTTGTGTGTAAAGCCTTTTCATCTGGCTGCTTCCATGTTCTGGTACGTGACATGACTTTCATTCCTGAGAGCCTCAATCTGACTATTGATGGGGGCTCTGCTCCTACCTGCTTTTTTCTTCTTCTTTTCAGCGTTGTTGTTATCTTGTTCTGTTCCTGGCTTAATGTGGCTTATTGCGTGGACCTCAGCATTAACCAAAACTCAACTGCTGGGCTCGTTCTTTTCGAGTCTTTGTTGAAACTGTAATGTTCTGTTCTCGTGAACAATATTATCTGTGTCTGTGGCTTGCTGGTTAGGTTCGTCACTGTGCAGGATAAAGGTATGAGGTCAGTCCTCATATGAGAATATGTTGTGTGGAATTAATGTCACGTCTTTCTGCTTGGAGATGTTCTCCTCTCCTCACGAGTTGGCCCTGATGGCAGGATTGAAGCAGCCCGCCTCCGTAATCATCTTCATCCCGTTAGGCTCTCAGACTCACTACTATAAGGGGATAGGTTCAAATCCCGTTATGAACTCAATGTTATGTCTCTGGGAAAGACATTTTACACAAATTTTCCTCACTTCACCCTGGTGGTAATGGGTAGGCCTACCCTGCTATAGACAGTAAAAGATCTTGTCAGTTTGTCAGTGTTTGAGCGCTTAATCAGCTGCTTGCACTGTTCAACATCGGGTTTAACATAGTTCACATAATACGTAGACACCTCATTCTACAGTTTTTGAACGACACATTCTACTATGTCTGAAGCACTCATGGTATGTGGCGGTGCAGTGCATTAGACCGTTCTAGAAACTGAAGCTGGACACTGAAAATATTCTAATTCTGCTCAATGTATGATACAGAATGTGCAAAAATATGAAATTCTGATAGCATTTTTGTCTGGGATTTTTCCTGTGGCTAGTTTTCAATAAGAAGGGAGTTCTATTTTAGAAAGAGTTTTACGATGCTCACAACTGCTTATGAGCATGCCAGTAAGAAGTAAGATTTAACAGTTGAAAGGCAACCAAGGTCTCTGTTTGGTATTGGTTTTTACAGCGTTTGAAACTGCATATGGTTATATGAACACGCACACGACCATGGTGGTCTTTTCTCTTCAGTATAAGATAAATAAGGATCACCATTTGGAGGAGTTCTTAAAAGTGAAACATGTGCGGTGGATTATTGCCCCGTGGTCTTGTGTAAGTACACACTTCTGCTGTTAAGCCGCAAAGACCTCAATTCACAAGATACGTGTACAAATTTCTGTGTTCAATTTTCCCGCTTTGTTCATACTGTATTTTATATATCTTTTATAACTGCTCATTTGAAATTGTGATTTTTTTAATATCAGGATTTTTGGGTGGACCTTTTTTGTATGTGTTTTTGCTGTACTTGATTTGCTTGTTATGATTATTGTCATAGTTTTTATTACGTGTGTCATTATTGTTATTATTTGTAGCAGTAACATTGTTGTTTTTTGGTGTTGTCATAATACTTGCTTTGACCATTGCAGCTATGCCTAGTTGTTTTCTGTCATTCTTTCTGTACTAACAGAAAGCAAATCTTTTTGCTTTGCGAAAAATGTGTTCTTGGACTTTTTTTTTCCTTGACATGTCATTTTCAGGCTCAATCGTTCTTGCGTTCATCTTTTCTTTTTTCCAGCCTACTCGGTGGTATAAGTTTGGTCACAAATTTTCAAGGCCGCACACTAAGTCGCATCCTTAAAATGGCAGTATTCTAATTCCATGACGCCTATGTTTGAGAGAATGGGACTCAAAAGTTTCATGCTCTTACTACAGCCAAAATGTTTTTATTCCTGATTTAAGCGTCAAACTGAAAAAAATACAAGTCAGACTGTCTCGAGCATTTGACACAGTACGCATGGCATCCGTGTCTGTATTGTGTTGTGTCGTGTGTGTCTCTGCTCTCGCTCAAAGCAAGTGAAGTTTGAAACCCTGTCAATCTTAAGGGGACAAAGCATGCAAGTCATGAGAGTGTTCGAATTTTTGTTAAAAATACTGCCACGGTGACTCCTAGTTGGTATGTGTTCAGCCAAGGGATGTGTTCAAGCCGAGGCTTTCTGCACCTTCATCGTGAGCGCCCCCCAGAATCTCTCAACTCTCACTGGGCTGTTGTACGCAATGGTCATTTTACTCTCCTTTTGTTTGTTTGTTTGCCTGTTTTTGTCTATTTGATCGTACAGTTAAGTGATAGTGGTGTCAGTAGTCCAGTGGTTAGGCTACCGGACGTGTAGTAGTAAGATTGCAGGTTCAAGGGCTCGAGCCTTAGGCCCGACCCTGTGTCCTTGGGGAAAGATACATTACCCAATTTTCCTCTCTTCATCCAGGTGGGAATGGGTACCTGGCCGTAGACAGCGAAAGATCTTGTCAGTATTTTAGTGTTTTAGCAACTATAGAATGGCAGCTTGCCCTGCATGCTTCCCAGGAAGTTGAGATTGTCTCAGAATGCTATCAGGTCAGATGGGGTAATAATATAGATTGTAAAGCACATACAGCTTGCTGTGAGTGGGAATTTGCACTATTCAAATGCTATAATATTATTTTTATTATGATAGTAGTAGGATGTCTGTACAACATATTATCTTGTTTGGATCTGCAAAAGGTCCAATGTGGCTGTTATTCATGCATGGCTGGTGTAGCTCTTACCACCTCGTAACTGGTGTCTTAAAAGATTTTCAGCACACAAAGTTGGTCGTAAGAGGGTGGTCTGGTGTAGTTTGCCCTTTCTTTCATATTAAACATTGTGTGATATTCTTTAGAAACACTTTTTAAATCATCAGCACTTATTATCTACTTGTGTTGCTAGTTTGTAAAACTCTTTCTAAAAATGAAAACTCAGCACACAAAGATAACAAACCGAACCCCTCTCTGATTTAAATGATGATGAGAGAAGACAACGTAAAAGTCAGCGCATATTAACTTCAATAACTTTTTTTTATTTTGGTCGACTTCAATATCATAATTAATACGTGCTGGCCCCTGATCTTTATTGATAACCTGCAGGTCAACCTTGGCTATGGTTTTAGAGCAACATAGGGTTGATCTATTACTTCTGGTTACGTGGTTAGAGCATAGCACCATAATATGTTGTTGCAAGAGAGATGTTCATACAATCATTTTTTACCGCTTAGGCCATTGAAATATTGTGCCGTGTTTTTTTTAGAGTGGGCTGGTCTCTTTAGAGTCAGATGCTACGGAAGTGTAGTTGTCTCTTTTTTTTATTTTTCTGTTATTTACTGTATATAATTAACCCTTTGCTTTGGGTTGCTATGCTTACCAGTGTACCGTGGGCTATTTTGTACAATTAATTTTATGATTTTATTATAGCCAAAGGTAAAGCAGCAGGTAAGCGGTGCTACTTTTTTTATATATAGTGGTAGTCATGTCATTTCCTCTTTTCCCCATACATCAACTATTTGTTAGGCATTAGGGTTGAATCAGGCGCTCATCAAAATTGAATAACAAAATTGAAGAAATTGGCATTTTTCTGTCCTTGGGCCATAAAAATATTTTTTGGGATCAACTCTTTTATATCTATTTAAAGACACATTTCTGTGTAGATTTCACTGAAAAACGTTGATCAAAAGAACGAAAATTGTAGATATGCAGTTTTCAAAGACATTCAAGTTTTGGAAGTCACCAAACATTTGCCGCTATTTTCTGGCTAATTTTACCTCTGACATCAGGTGACCCCTACCTCCTTCAATCGCAAATATCTTGACATCTGTTCAAGACAGATGGGTATTTTTTTCAACAAAAGCAAGACAATTGAACAAGCTTTAAGATGATACAAGTAACTCCATTAGCTGAACAATTGACGAGCGCCTGATTCCTCTACGTTGTGACACAAATGTTTGTTCGCTTGTTTGTCTTGGGGTTTTTGGTCACGGTTTGTGGGATGAAATAGATTTCTATCTCATCGTTTGACCCTATGGCCATTTATTTCTTTGGCAAATGTTATTGTCAATGCTCTGGCAGTGCTTGTTGTGATAAAATAATGAATTCTTATTCAACAAATTGTCATTACAGCTCTCCGCTCGCTTATATTCTAATATTTATTTAGATAAGAGGTTGTGGGTATGATAACAGCATGCTATGTATGGTCACAATTGAGCACCTACACTGCAGTGTTGTTTCTAAATGATGCTTCTGTTACTGGGGGGTTTTAATTGTGCTTTTTTTTGGGGGGGGGGGGGGGGGTTTGAGCATTGTTCCCACTGCTTTTATATTGTTGATATGTATCTGTCGATGTTTATTGCCTGTGTAAAACTGGAACTTAGGTAGCTAAGATTTGTCTCTCTAAGTTTGCTTCCTTTTTTTAGTCCCTCAGAGTTTTTACCCCATTATTTTCTTGCCATTTTCAGATTAGGCATTAGGCTTTTTACCTTGCACAGGAAGAAAGTGGGGTCAGTTCCAGTGTTCGGAGGATATCTGATCAAGAACAATGGGCCTATCTACTTCTTTCTGCTAGGATGTAGTATACAGCCCAGCCCTAGCTTACCTGTACAAGCCTGGTCAAACTCCTCAATAGTCTTCATGGTGTCAGTTGGGGTGGTGAATGTGAACTACTACTAAGAAATCCTATTGACAACACACTCTACGGAACATTACAGAAACTGCAGCAAACCTGCACTTATCACTACATGGCATTGGACATAAGGGCGAGAGCCCAGCTGTTGCTGGATTGATAACAACTACAACAACTACTAGTACTAAGAAATCCAGATTCCTTTATGTCTCCTGCAATTTGCTGGTTCGATTGAGCAGATGTTAATCGGAATAAAAACTGCAGAAAATTTTCTTCTCGTTATTGAGACAACATTTTTGTATGTAAATGTTTGCAAGCAGAGATTTGAATGATTTTTCTATGTATTGGATTCTTATCTGAATATTTTATTTTTTGTAATTGGAAAATTGATTACTGCACAAATCTCTTTTTTTCGTGCTTTGTTTTGAGCTTTTAAGCTTTGACCGATAATTGATGGTTGTCCATTTTCCTCATGACATCTGTAGCATCTCTTGTTTTCTCATATATTTCACCCATGTGTTGTCAAACTAACAGAAATATTTATACCGACCAATACATTCCTGATTCAGTTTCTATAAATAAATACCTCAGCTTTTACATACTTGTCCATTTGCTCATAGTTTCATAAAATAATTTAATACAAATTGTGTTCATTTTCTATGAATGCTGTAATGTTGATATTGTTTTCTTGTATTTTTTTTTTTTTTGCGTTGCTGTTTATTTTGTTATATTTTTTTTTTTTAAAAAGCTCATGTATTTTTATTTGCTTAGTATATATATTATATATATTTGTATTCCCTGTACAGTACTAACTTACAAAATAATTATTGATTGACAATTTTGTTTAATTTTCAGCTTGATCCACAATTATGTGTTTGTTACCCTCAAGGTTCATTTACCAGCGACCTCTTAAGTTCAGTATTTCGTATTTGATTCTGTGAGTTTTAAGTTGAGATTCCTAATGCCAACTTCACTTTCAGCTAACAGATCAAAAGCGTTTGTTTAGTATTTTGAGGGGGGGGGGGTGTAGTTGGTTGGTTCGTTTGTTTTAAAGGTCATAACCTTCAGAGGAATTTCATTGTATCATGCGGTGTCATCTTATGTCTTGATTTGTTTTAAGGTTAAAACAAAATAGAATTGGAGATAGAAGATAGATGTTATCAACAGTTTTGTGCTTGTGTTAGGGATTATGGACTCAGCAACCTTGTGCTTGTATTTGACATTTTAGTACTTTTTAATTCAGAAATAAATCGTTTAAGATAAAAACCTTTTTTTATTTGCATGTTGGTAGATCTATGATAAGTAATAATATGAATGATGGATAGAGCTTGGCATAGAGTCAAAAAAAGCTAAAAGTGTTTTCTACCCTTGTATGCTTGTCTTTACAGTATTGACAATAATGAACCAACAGTTACCTCTGTTGTCATTTGTGCTCTGCAGAAAGTGGAGATGACAGTACTTGATTAGAGAGCAGGAAAGGACGTGAAAGGAGAACATTTTACTTTAGAGAAGAAAGTTTTCTGTCACTGTCAACATTCAAACCTGGGACCTTTTGAATGAGATGCGAATGCCATTGGGAATTCTTTGAATGGAATCACATTTGCAACATACAAAAAGAATTGAATTTTAGGATGAAGAAAAATCAAGTCCCAAGACAGAATGGTAGATGTGATGAAAGATGATCCTCTTGTTGGAACTGACTTTAGAGAGGAAGAATAGTGATATAATCACATAGGAGATAAAAAGGTCTAATCAGTGGCTGAAAAACGTGAGACGGGTGTGTCCACAAAATAAAAGAGCAAAGTATTTGAAGAAAGCAACCCATTAATTTTTTTTTAAAGAAAAAAACAAAACAACTATTACAGTATTATAAAGTGTATCTAATTTTCTGTCTCAAACATGTAGGTTATTATTTTTATGAATGACAATGACAAGTTTAAGACGATTTTTGGCTTAGACCAACTTCTGCAGTGTTATGGTTAGAGTCTTGCTATTACATGCTTAAGACATGGGTTTTGTTCCTGGGTGGGGAAGTTTATTTTGTAGAGTATGTCCATTTTTATGCTGGGATGCTATATCCACACAGCCCGAGTTGGCCGTGACTGGCAGAGTTGAAGCAGCCTGTTTTGTTAATAATGTAATAGTTATAACATCAATTGTTTTAGTGGAGGATGAAACATTAACCATCCCAATATTTCTTCATAAGACAGAGATTAAAATAGTTCCTTTAAATGTTGTCCCCCATTGGAGTAGCAAAAGAGGTGATAGCTGGCTACTGAATGCCCTAAAGATGTTGACAATTTCACATTAAAAATGAATATATTATGGTCTTAGATCTGAATATTTTTTTATGATTTATGTGTTGATGATTATATACTGTCACAGGTGATGATGATGATGCAGTAGAACATAATGCTTGCTTACTGCACAGCTGTATGTCTATGAGATTTTGTCAAATGTTTGAGCACAAAACCAAAATAATGAACCCGCGCCTCCTGGTTTATCAATTTGCATACTCCTTGCTTTTCTTGTGTGTAAGGAACACAGCGTCTTATGCGTCATAGGACAAGATGGTGTTCTTTTCTTTACTTTCTTGAAATTGCATACTTTTTTTTATGTTGCTTTCTTCAACTTGAATGGTAAGGGTCATACAGATCATGCAAATATTCTGTTCTTTTTTTTTTTTTTTTTCCTGAAATTGCTGCATGTGTTTTTGCTTTTTTAAAAATGATTATAGTTCCGGTAGTCCAGCCACGTAGATCATCCTGGCAATCTGTACTTTCACTTTCAGAAGTTGTGTTTATTTTTCTACAGGCCTTCTTGAATGGAAATTTCTTTATTTTAAGCGAAACGAGTGCCCACTGGACTGCTTGCCCCTACGTATTTGGTAGTTTAGAAAGATGGCTGTTTCACAAAAACTCTCGTTTCTCAGAATAAAAATTGTAAAAAGGCAGTCAACTATTGCGTGACTTTCTCTTCTCCCACTGGCACACAAGTTTCTCTATTGTGATAGTCGTAGATGGTGACCAGCCTAGTATGAGTGTGTTAAGTTTAGAATGGTTTTTGGCTTAGTAGAACACCTTCTGTAGTGTTTTGGTTAGGGTCTTCCTATTACACCATACATGTTTCACAAAGAGCTCTCCTCATGTTCTGAGAATTTTAAAAAAGCAGTCAAGTGTTGAGTGGCTTTCCCTTGTTCAACCAGCTCACAGGATTCTCTGTTGTGATAGCTGCAGATTGTGACAGCTGAAGAAGGTGATAGAAACAGGTTGTGCTGTTGCATGCTCGTAAAGTAAAGAGGGTGGAGACAAAGCCACCATTTACAGTATGACACGGATAGCTCGAATTCATTAGGATCTGCCTCAGTAGTTCCAGGGATCAGTAGTTCGAGGGATATCTTACAAAGAAGAGAGAAAAATACCAGGACCACTGGCACAGTTCGACGGATGCGTGATTTCGAGTCTTCTGTGTTTGACCTATCTGTGTTATACTGTATCTCAAAATACGACTATTCGGGAGAAACAAACACTTTTCTTTTGTTCTCTTGCCCTGCCTCTGCTTGGTTTATATTTTTTTAGTCCCCGCAATATTTCTCAGCTTTTTGCTTCTGTCATGTTGACAACATTTTGATGCATGGTGTGGCTGGGGTGTACCAGCACAGATCTTTTTTCAAGTTTTGAAAAATATATTGGGATATGATAGTGTCGTTGCTAAATGTATATTTTTTGTACTGATTGAGTTTATATGTTTTGTTTTGTTATGTTGGGGTTTTTTTTAAACGGTGATATTAGTGGGGTCTGTGAAAAATGTTTCATTTTATTGTAATGTGCAGGTGGCTGGTGGGCGACATTGGTAGGTTGTATTTCTTTTCTTTCCCTCGGTTGTTTCTGTCTTACTTTTTCAATGCACTAAATCACTATTACTGTGTGGGTGTATGTG